GCACACCTTTAGATTCCTTGCAGAGTTACGATGAGCCAATTTTATTTACATAAGAATAGATATTAAAGAGCTTATAATAATAATAATAATAATCCTCAATGTAGGACTGAGGAATTCACCCTATTCCCTGCGGGGTGGGGGGGAATGGCAATTCTAACCCGAGAGAGGCTCTCTGGGACTCTCCCTCAGGTGAAGTGAGCTTCGTTTGCAGGGTTGCACCCCCTCTAGAGGGCAGCCCGGGTCGGAGGGCTGGCTGCACTGGGTGCCGAGGCTCAGCCCCCTCCCGTCCATGTAAACGAGTCTCAGAGGCCGCTCCTCTGTCCAGTTCCCTGTCGAGCGGCCACGTCTGGTGGCTGCACTGCAGTGGAACTGCTCCTCTGCCAGTCGTGCTCCTTCACTCCCTCAGGCGTGTGGGTCCTGACAGCTCCCCACGGGGAGCTTCCCACAGGCTTCCATCCCTTTAGAGTCTGAATCCCAGGGAAACTGACCTATGGGAGTCAACTGTGAGCCTTGTGGGGAGAAAACTGTAAGATGCTCCTTAGACATTGGATCACTCATCAGGTGGCTGGTCAAGAGGCCCCGCATTGAGGGGAGGTATCACAGGGGTGGGCCCAGCAGGCCCTGTTGTTGCAGCTGTTGAACTCTCACTGGTGCTGAACTGGGATGGAGTGACCAGAGGAAGAGAATATGTGGGCTTCAGGCATTTGGAAGTGAGTTGGGAGATGGTCATCATAAGGACTATGGGACTGGATGACTGTCGCTGGGCATGATTTTGGGGAGAAAGACAATGAAAAGTTTCAGTGTGAGCCAGGAGGCTTCTTGATAGCATTGCAGGTTCTTTTCTTCTAGAGTCACCGGGCAGAAAAAGCTGAGATTGGGGCCAAGGACCGAATTCTAGGGATAGAGAGGGACAGGGAAGTTGAGTTCTCCAGTTCCATGAGGCCACGATGGGGAAATCTGGGACCCGGAGATAGGGACCTCTGGGCCTGGGCAGTCAACACTCTTCAGTCCCCTTCTGAGCTGCGGGGGACAATGGCAGCAGCACCTACTTATCTCCAAAGATGGCTTCTCCAAACCAAAGGAAAAAACACACCGAAGAAAAAGTACATCCTGTACACAACTGGCTCTCTGTATTACGTGATGAGAAAGTGTAAAAGGGTCAAAATGCCATCGTTGAAAACTGAAGAATCACCAAATCCTAGGGCAAAGTCTTCCACGGGGCTTCCTTCCGCGCCTCACTCAGCCACAAGGCAAAAGGCAGGCAGCAGCGGGTTGCGACCACCGCCAACGCTAAATTCAGCCTGACACTGGAATACTGCAGAGTGTCCTGGAGATCAGAACACAGATCATAGGGGAAGGCTCCAAAGGAAGTCAGTGCAAAAGGGTTGGCGCAGAATCCCTGTAATCTGTGAACATGTCACTTTACCTGGTAGAAGGGACTAGTGTAGTGATTAAGTGAAAAAGTGAAATGGGGATTTTTAAAAATATTTTTCGAGTGGAGCCAATGCACTCACAAAGATCCTACTAAGTGAAAGCGGGAGGCGGGCGAGTCATAGAAGATGTGATGGCAGAGGTAGGGTTCAGAGCCTCAGCCGAGGAGGGCGGCCGCCTCTAGGGCTGCGAGAGGCAGGGATGGGGATCTTCCCCTAGAGCTGCCAGGAGGGGCCGGTCCTGCCAACCCACTACACATCTCTGACCTCTAGAGCTTCAAGATGATAAATATGTGTTGTTTTAAGGAACTAAGTGTGTGTGGGAATTTGTTACAGAGGTCATAGGGACCTTATATAAAGACGCAGGGACATTTAAAAGGACAGATGAGGCGAATCCCTGCTAATCTCTTCAATTAAAGAGTGTGGCCGACACGCCACTATGGGATTCACACATATACCTCAGAATGCCAGGTCTAGGTTGTTGATTTTATCAACCCAGACTTCCTGAAGTGGAAGATGTAGTGATGGTGAATAGGAGATCCATTGCTGAAATGGGGGCTTATGGCAGCCTGCTGGAATACAATATGGAAGGCATGATTTTTCTTAGTGAGTTGTCCAGAAGGGGTATTAGTTCCATAAACAAACTTATCCCAATGGGCAACAATGAATGTGTAGGTGTCATTAGAGTGGACAAAGAAAAAGGATACATTGATTTGTCAAAAAGAAGAGTTTCTCCAGAGGAAGCGATCAAATGTGAAGATCAATTCACCCAATCCAAAACTGTTTACAGCATTCATCATGTTGCTGAGGTGCTGGAGTCCACCAGGGAGGAGCAGCTGGAGAGCCTGCTCCAGAGGCCTGCTTGGGTCTTTGATGGCAAGTACGAGAGCCCTGGATATGGTGCCTATGATGCATTTAAGCGTGCAGCCTCAGACCCATGAATTTTGGCTAGTTGAGATTTGAATGAAGTTCGGTGGGGAGTACTCATGAACAATTTTAATAGGCGTTGGACCCCATGGGCTGTCAAAATTCGAGCAGATATTGAAATGGCTTGTTATGCTTATGAAGGGACTGATGCTACAAAAGAAGACCTGAGAGCAGATTTGAACTGTTCTGCAGAAACCGCGCCCAGCAAGGTTAATCTCATAGCTCCTCCTCGGAATGCGGTGACTACAACAACCCTAGAGAGGACAGAAGGCTTCTCTGTCCTCAGCCAAGCTTGGGTGTTATTAGAGAAAAGACTGAAGAAAAGAGGGGCATCTTCAATGTTCATATGGAGCCCAACGTGGTCCCAGATACAGAGGAAACCGAACTTGCAAGGCAACTGGAAAGGCTTGAGAGAGAAAACGCAGAAGTGGGTGGAGATGATGATGCAGAAGAAATGGAAGCCAAAGCTGAAGGTTTACGTTGTGGGAAACAGAGTCCTGTTTAAGGAACACAAAACGGCCCTTCTGGCTATAAACCCTAGACTTAAAAGTTTTCCAGTAGTGAAAATTTCAAAGTTGAATATTTTTTATTTCCAAGTATTTAAATGTTCTAAGAGACCAAAATGTGAAATGCCCTCCTGAAATGTCAGCTGTTTTCACGCAGTAGCTCCAACACATTGAACATTTTTAAGCTAAGAACAGTCATAAAGTTGGGTTTTCCATGTCTGATGTCTCCAGATTGAAACTCCTTTGTAGTTCAGTGCCTCCATGTAATTTTACCAAAGCAAATAGTCCCAACCTTTCTATATAAATGTATCAGGCCAACATTAAATAAGTTTCTGAGATATTTAATTAAAAAAAATAAAAACAAAAGGACAGATGAGATTGAAAAATGGGCACCACATAGAGTGCACAACTTCTGTGGAAAGCAAAAGTAAAAGAAGGAAAAGGGTTGTTCGGCAACTGAGTGTTATGGGAAAAAGTAGGGGGCTAGGAAATTCAGAGTCCTTAGAGACTAACAAGAAGAAAAATTTCTTGAGGGGACTCAGAACCTTTTTCCCATTGTTGACACTCACCAGCAAGCATAATTCTGCACTAACATGAGGATTTTGCTGTGCTGACGGAAGTTCCCTCATCTAGAAATATTGTAAAACACCCCAATACCACAAACATGACCAATAAGTTGTGCCTTTTTTGGCCACACCCCTTGGACCGTGACAGCAGTGCCCCGCGCCCTCTGCTGCTGGGGTGGGCTGTGGGTTCCCCGTGAAGAGGGTCCCACAGACGTCCTGCACTTGGCCCCATTTTGCCAACACAGATGACCCAAACACCATCTCCAGCCTCAGAACTTAGTGGGCCTGCTGGGTCAGGCACAATGGGAACGCCCAGAAGTAATTGCCTGATTTGACCCTGTGGGAGATGGAAACTCAAAAGCAAGCCCGAGGCGGCCCAGGGAAGATGGCGGAGACCCATCTCTCCTGCTGTCCTTGGTCAGTCCTCCTCTGGCCCCAAGAGGTAACACCAGGTTTGAGCAGTGGAGGGGGGATCTGAGAGATGGAAGGGAAGGCACACCGGCTCGGGCCCTGAGGGTGGGAGACGACACACAGCATTCAGGTGTCATAGGTGGCACTATGCCAGCACCCAGGCATGGAATGCAGCCCAGGTGTGGCATTTCAAAAGGTCTCAAACCAATCATCTATGTTCCATTCCAAGAAATGAGGAAAAAGGGAGCAAAATCAACCCAAACCAAATAGGAGACAGGAATTAGAAAGCAAAGAGAAAAAAATCAACGAAATTGAAACAGAAAAGACAAGAAAAGTGAAAAGGGGGTTCTTTTAAAGATGCATAGAACTGAAAAACTTCTATCAAGGCTGATGAAGGATAAAGAAGGAATGACGTATTTCCATGCGAGGAATGAGCTGGGAAAGCACTGTGACCCGCGGACATCAGCAGGGGAATGAGGGATATTGTGAGCGACTCTGCAGTAGGACGGTGGTGACTGTTGCTGGTCTGTTTTTTTTTTTTTTTAATTTACTCCTAATTAGAGAGAGAGAGAGATCAATTTGTTGTTCCACTTATTTATGCATTCATGGGTTGATTGTTGTACGTGCCCTGATTGGGGATCAAACCTGAAACATTGGTGTGTAGGGACAAGTCACAAACTAAGGGAGCAACTTGGCCAAAGCTTTTGCTGGTCTATTGTCACAGATATGGGGAGAAGAAGGTCTGTAATGTGACCACGCACAGTCACTTGAGTGCCCTGTTCACACTCACACTCCACGTCCTCAGGGCTCTCCTTCTGGAATTTCACAGAGCAGCAAGTTCAGGCATTTCCTGGGTGACCTTACGGATGCACATGGAAAAGTCTAGGAGGGAGGAGAGACCAGGGGGCAGGGGGAAACAGCATGGAGGAGGGAGGGCCTGACGGGACCGTGGACGCAGGGACTGTAAGGAGAAGAAGGGGGAGGCAGGACACTGAGAAGATGATCACCCTCTGTTGCTCTTCCTTCCTTTCATGTATATTGATGACCAGAGATCTATAAAGATTTGTACCAAACTCCTACCAGTGGTGACCCTTGGAGGGTGCGGGTTGTGGGAGGGAAGCTCACATCACAATTCTGCTTTCTATTGATAGTTACTAAACATAGTTACTACTCTTAACATGAAAAATGTTAAGTATTAAAGAGCAGGTAGGTTGGAGTGGAGGCCTCACCAGAGGGTTCATCTGCGTCCTGGTGAGCGGAGGCCTCTAGGGTGAGGTTCCTGCCGACCGCCGGCTGCCCATCGTGCTGCACCTGACAGGTGAGCACCACGTCCTCCCTGCGGGCAGATGAATTCACCAGGATCCAGTTCCTCCAGCTGAAGGTCCCGTCCTTGTTCTCTACCTGGGTCCAGGATGTTTTTATTTCGGACTTGCTTCCGTTCTCCAACCAGGTCAGCTGTAGGTGCTGGGGGTAGAAGTTCTTCACGTGGCAGATGATGATGTTCACCTGGATCTCTGACATGGGGCGTTGGGTAATGTCCAAGGTGGGCGGAACTGAAACAGCACAGGGCAGAAATCTGACCTCATGGAACACACAGATCCCAGAAGAGGGACCTGAACTTAGCTCCCCCACCATAGCAAGGGGGTAACTCAGGACAGGGCTACGTATGCACAGGTGCTCACGTTCTCTTTGCAGATGAATGAAATCGCTAAGTGCAGTGCCCTGCACACCGCAGATGCCCCAAGACTGGTGGCTGCTATTAGGGTAATATGAGTGAAATCAAACAGCACAGCCTTGCATGCAGTGGGAACATAATAACTAGCAAAATAGCAAAATTGAAGAGCAAAGACGAGCTTGTTTTGTAGCAGGTGCTCAGTTATTGAAGTTGCTATTGGTAAAGGAGATGAAACTACTAAGCACACTGCTTGGCATGTGGTAGATATTCACTTAGAAGCTTCTATTAAATAGTGGTTTTTTTTGCTTGGGCAATCCATGTGCCTGGTAGTGGGAAGGACTGTGCGGAGTTAGACTCCAGGCGATTGCAGGCCTGGAGCAAAGAGCAGGAGGAAGAGCCGGCTGCAGGGGAGGAGCCAGGCATGGGTCAGGCTGGGGGTGAGGGACATCTACCTCGGATGACCTCAGACAGGTTGGCAGTCTGACGAAGAGGAGGGCCCCCCTGCAGGGTGACGTGGTCCACCTGGCAGATGACCTGGGAGCGGACATCCCCCGCGGCCAGCCGCACCCTGGCCGTGCTGGAGACGCTGTAGGAAGGGCTGTCTCCCTCTGGGTCCACGGCGGTCCAGGAGGCTGGGAGCTCGTTCTCATCTTTGAACCATCTCAAGATGATGTTCCTGGGGGAGAAGCCGTGGCACTCACAGGTGAAGTTCACCGTCTGCCCAGGTGCGGCCCTCCCCGTGGGGGCTGATACCACGGGGGGCGAGGGTTTGGCTATAAAAGGAGCATAATGAACAATGAGCATGGTTGTGATCATCAGCACTAATGACAAGCATGTGACACTGTCAAGGACCTTCTTATATATTATTTTTATCCTTTTACTAATGCTGGGAGGGCGTGTCATTGTCCTCATCTTACAGAGGAGGACACTCTGGTCCTTGGAGATGAGCTCTGAGGTAGAGCCTGGCCAACAAGCAGCTCCAGACCTGACTTCCAAGCGCACCTTCTTTTGTCCCCAGGTGACCTCCTGCCAGTCAGGACACAGGAACAGCATTAGCGATCAGTCTCATCACTTGTACTGACTGCTTAGAGCTGAGCCCATCCTTCCAGACCCCTGAACAGGAGCTGTGATTAACAAGCTTCATCAAGTGGGGAACTGGGCACTTGAGCGAAACCGAGACTTTCCAGCAGCACCAGCTGTGGGATGACAAGACCACGGCTCAGCCGGGGTCAGTTCTCTCCAGGCTGCCATCGTAACAGCCTGTCAGGGGCGATTTGACCATAGCATCAATATTTAAACAATGATTTGATTATATTCCTTTATGAACACACTGTGCATACTTTCTGCAGGTGAGGAACGGGGGCCCAGCAATGCTACCTGGGTCACGACGCTGACGTAACCCTGATCTGGGAGGCTCCCCCGTGCTGGACGAGTCACACAGAGCTCCTCAGATCCTTTCCACTTTCCTAGGAGTGGCCCATGCTTATCACCATTTTATGGATGAGGAAACTGAGGCTTGGGGAGACGAAGGCACTGTCGCCTCCCCAACTAATGTGTCCCAGAGGTGTTTCCTGTGGCCCCCCAAGTACTCACGACCAGCAAGAGAGCACATGCCCACGTTTAGGAACCTGACACTGATTGTCGCCTGCTCCAGGGAGGAGTGGCCTCCAATGGCCCAGGCCTGGAGACCTTGTAGCCATAAATGGAAGACGGGGCTCCTGACAACTGGGTCTGGAATATGAACTCTTGCTCCCCTGGAGCCCCACTACTCTTGAGGAAATGCCCCCTGCCTCATCCTCAGTCTGTGGGGACAGGAAAGGTGACATATAGTGTTGTGGGGGGTCCAATGACCCCTCTCTGCTCTACCCCGGCCACTGTCCCCAGGCTGCTCCTGCAGGCTGCTCAGAGAGGGAATAACACCAATTAAGAAATAGCTTCAGGACATCGTGGGACATGTGAGTATCTGTCTCATCCTAGTTGTAAAGCTAGAGCTGCCTCCCCCACAGGGCCTTTCCAGAGATTCATCTATAGACTCATCGACCGATTGCTGAAGAAGAGGGTTGGAGCTTTCTCCACATGTGGACAGGCACGGTGGGCGGTGCGGAGAGCGGGGGCGGTGCGGACTGCGATTCATGCTGCTTGGGGTTCAAATCCTAGTTCCCCTCCTCTGAGTTCAGGTCCCTCTCTGAGCATCAGTGTCCTCTTCTAGCAAAAGGGCACAGAGGCCCCTCCCGTACTTCACTCATTATTAAGTAAATTCCATGATGAAGACCACGTCCCGGCCCCGTCCTGCCTCCCTGGTTCTCATCCAGGGCATCCTCTGGGCAGGCAGCTTGCGGAAGAGGAACGAGCGCTCTGCCCGGAGGCAGCAGATCTCAGATGGAGCCTCTTGTGACCTGGGGTTACCAAGGCAAGGGACACGCCCTTGGGAACTTCTGTAATATCTGCTAATTCAGAATAAACGCAGCTTCCCTGCTTATGCCCACGGTCACCTTTTGGCCTCAGGTTCCCATCTGTGCGTGGGGTGTCAGGCAGCATGGCCCAAAGATTCTTCGTGGGCTGATATTTCAGGATTCAGGATTCTGGGCGTCTGGCAGAAAACCCTAAAGAGCTCTTTTGTGCCTCAGCGGGATGACCCCTATGTCACCCACAGGGGGAACCTCCTCCCGGGCTGAGGGACACCCTGAGAAAACTCTGCTCAGAGTCTAAGTGACAGTGTGACTGGGCCCTGAAATAAGGGGGTTTCTCAGACAGACCCACAGCGAATATCCAACCGCTGGGCACCCCCACCCAGCAGGGCTGTCGGAGTAAATGGGGTCTGTGCCTCTTAGGGATTTCTTCTCGCCTGATGCTTCTGAGGAAGAGATAAAGAAACGTGTTCCTCCCTCCCTGCCCTGCAGGGATTTCTCCCAGAGAAGGGGAAGAGAACAAAGCTTCATTGGAGAAGGGCCTTTGCTTAGTTCACCGCAGCTCCCAAGGCACCCAGAGCGGGGCCTGGCTCACAGGACGTGCTCAGGGAGTGTCAGTAAGTGGGGGGGGGGGGGGGGGGGGGCGCTCAGCCACACTGAGGGGAGCACTCTCTGCGGGCAGGGGTGAGGTCTGACCCTGTGACGGGCCGGTCACTCAAACCTGCAGTTCCCTCATCTCTGGAAACAAAGGGCTGGAGGGGATTGGATAAGGCAAGGGCTGGGTGGTCAGGCAAATTGGAGGTCCAGACTTTTCCCACTATTTATCAGCCATGGGGCCTGACAAATAGCATGACCTCACCAGGCCTCATCTTCCCAACCTGCAGAAGGGGCGAAATCAGACCCTGAATCAGACCCGGACTGTGAGCACCCACCGCTGCACCTCATTTCTAGTTCTTGCTCAAAAAATGGAGGTTGTTCTTCTGGACTTGATGTCACACATCAGGAACAAAGGGTCCCACATTGTACTCACCACTCATGATGAGCTGAGTGCCTGCCCCAGACTTGAGCTCTGTGTTGTCAGTATCCCCTTTGCGGAACTTCACACAGTAGTAGGTCCCGGCGTCTGCTGGGGAGATGTTACTGATGCGGATGGAAAAGTCTGTGTTGTCTTTACTTGTGGTGTTTCCAACTGTTGTTATTCGGGGGCCGAGGCCTCCATTGAAATCGTAGATTAACTCCCGGCCTGGCCCTGTCCCCCGGAACCACTGTGTGGGCCCCACGGGGATAGCAGAGGTCACGGTGCAGCTCAGGGTGGCCGTCTCTCCGGCTGCTACTAACACTGACTTGTCAGGCTGAATCACCTGCAGCTCCGCACCTGCCCCTCCTGCAGGAAAGCACAGAGCAGTTGTTTATTCTTCTGTGTGTGACCCTGTAGGTTTTGTGAGGTCTTTATCAACAACAGCTTTTACTGAGTGCACACCCTGAATGTGCGTCAGCTCAGCACAGTGCCTGCGTCACACATGGAACGCTCACAGCAAGCTGGTCATGTCATACGCTATTACAAATGAGGACATGGAGGTACATAGAAGTAAACTGATGTGATGGAGAGGAGGTTTAAGTTTTCCTGCCAAGCAGGTCTGCTCAGTGCCACCAATGGAGGCCGTGCACTTGGCCTTGTCCTGGGCCGCTCGGCTGCCCAGCTGAGCCGCGTGGCTGCTGGTGTGACCGATTCAGCCTGAGAAGAAGGAGCGCGTCAGCCAGTCTGTCTGTGCCCAGGACCATAGGCAGCCAAGGCTGGTCTTCTGATGATGAGGAGATTAGTTGCAGAGAATTTGAATGTCTCTTAGAATAATTGTTTGCATAGAACTGCAAAAGTGAAAGCAGTTCTTACAAAAGATTCCGTACACCTTTACCTCAATTTCAGCTGCAACATCTCTCATTGAAGGGGCTGTGCTGCCCTCGCTGCTGAACCTGAGCTACAAGTTGGAACTGACACAGTGGACACTAGTTTTCCAGGCTGTGGTTCAATTTGGGAATGCCTTCATAGTATGAACAGAAAGTTTACCCACCAAGAATGGAAAACAATCAGAAGCTTTGAAGACGAAGGCACTCGGCGGCTATGTGTTACCAGAATTGGGCACCGAAAGAAGCCCTCACGAACGTCATAGGTGTGGGACTAGGATTTGATGGCAATGGCTTGATCCGCTACGTCCCCATGAAACCCGCATCTAGGGCAGGTTTATAAGGGAAACACATTTGTTTCCGGGTGAAGAGAAGAAAAAAAAAGAATGGTCGTTTGAGGAACACAAAATAGAGGAGCAGCAGTTTGCTGCAGTGGCTCTGAGCAAACCTGATGGCTGTAGACACCAGGATGTTTGGTCTGCAGATGAGTCTCAACCCTCCCAGACAGTTTACTGTTCTGACCTACAAGGACTTACACCGTCTGCTGTTCCTATGGCCCCTGAAGAGCCCTCATTTGGGGACTGTTTTTGCCACGCAGAAAAAATCCTGATACAAAATGGTACAAAGTCATGATATGATAAGAAAGGGAAATGAAACCTTTTGTGATATTCTATATTCACCAAACAGTTTGTAAAAGAAAAGCACAACTTTTCCAATTAAAAGACCATACACACCCACTAGAGGTAGCTTTCTAGATTACACATTTACCTTTTCTTCCCCTTCAGTTTGCAGTGAATTGACAGAAGAAATCAAAAAGTGTGGCACAATCTTTTTTTCTTTTTCGCTTTGGTATTATTTTTTTCATGCCATCTTCCTCTGACAAATTGTTTATATTTTTGAGTGCATGATGTTGTGATTTAGGTAAGAAATATATATTTTGTGGTAGTATTTTTCTAGCTCCAGGTTACTAAAACCCTTGGAATTCCCCAAGTGATTAGAGCATCTTTTGTTACTTCTTTTTTTATTGTTGTTCAATGACAGCCGTCCCTATTCCCCCGTTACCCTCCTCCTGCCCTACCCACCCCACCTCCCACATTCAGTCCTCCCTCCACCCGTCGTCTAAGTCCACGGGTCGTTTCTACATGTTCTTGATGACCGTTCCCCTTCTTTACCCAGGTATCCACCCGCCCCCTCTCCTCTTGTGACTGTCACTTTGTTCTTTATGTCCCTGTCTCTGGTTCTATTTTGCTCGCTCCTTTGTTTAGTTGATAAAAACATGGAACGCTTCATGAATACACGTCATGCTTGCGCAGGGGCCATGCTAACCTTCTCTGTACTGTCCCAGTTTTAGCTTCTGTGCTGCTGAAGTGAGCACGTGTGGCACAATCCTAAGTGACACAGGCATAATCGTTTTGTTGTACTTTGCTTTTGCGCTTCACAGGCGCTGCATTTTTTTGCAAATGGAAGGCAAGGAGGCCCTCCACCAGCAAGAAGATTATGTCGCCCTTTACTGTGGAGGTCTGGAGCTGAACCCGGACTATCTGTGCGGCATGCCTGCACGTGCTTGGGGAAAAAACAGAAAATGCAAATACGCCATTGGGAGACATTTAAATTTCTGTGTTTCTGACATAACTATATCAGAGATAACTATTTCTCAAACCTTCTTCTTGGCAAATAAATCTATATTGGTTTTGAATCAAAAATGGGAACATACTATTTTGTAATGTTTTTCTCTTATCTGCACATCTCCTGTTCTTAAATACTTCTGTGGTGAAACTTTCCCAGGCTCTAATGTATTCTATCGTATGCCTAATATCAGTTAGGATGCTTTTGACCAGAGGTAAGTGTCCAATATAATTAACCTAAGTAATCAAGGACATTCATTATCTCACACAACACGCAGCTCAGAGGGGTCATTAAGGACACTGCTTTGCTTCAGCCTCAGGTTGGCCTTAGGCTTGTCTCATGGTCCTGAGAGCTGCTGCCGTAACTTCAGCTTCACATCTTCATAAAATTACTTTGAAAAGTCAGGAAAGGCTGTCTGTCCTCTCACATCTCAGTTCTGTCAGTGAGGAGTGCATTTCCCGTGGGTCCCCAGAAGATTTCTCCTCAGTTTCCCGGGACTCAGTTCAGCTCACAGAGAAAGTGATCGTTAGACTCTGTGGGAAGTAGACTCTGGGGAAGGAAGAAGCTAAGGGAGGGGGGAGAATGGCATGGAGGGGGAGCCCACAGCCTGCCGACAGGGACGTGTGCCATGATTCACTCACCAATGCCCTTTCTCAGACATTTTGGTCATCTGCAGACTTCACTGTAAACAGTGGTGCAGAGAAATCCTTGTAACCACTTCGAGGTAAAGGCTGAATTATGTCTTAGAGAAAATTTCTGGAAGTGGAATAATTGGTTCAAAGGAATTAAACATTTTTAGAATTTTGATAAGTAATGCCAAGTGTCTCTCCAAAAAGACTGCAACTTACACTTCCAGTTAGTTCTATATGTGTGACCTCCCTTTTTCCTGGCACCTACATACTCCCTGGTAAACTGTAGATACTATCTTTTTTTTTAAAAAAAATTAATCTTTGACAATGTAAGTGAAAAATTGTACCTTAGTTTTTAAATTTTTATTTCTTCATGATAAATAAGGTTGATATAGCAGTGTTGTTTTTGGCTGTTTGTATTACTTCTTTTAATGAACTATCTGTTCATTGTTTTTGGCTGTTTTTGTTTTAGTAAATAGGCCTTAATTTAAAGTGTGATCACAATATATAAAATTCCAACTCCATCATATTGATGAAAGAATCTATTATATGGTTTTAATGCATATCTTGGGGAGTTAGTGTCATTATGATTACTATGAAGAAATGAAATAATTTGACTTTTTTAATCAGTAAATGGGATGTTGTGTGTAATTGTATAATATTAGATTCTTTGCTTAGTGAAGAAATTTGAATGACAACTTCTGGTCAAGATGATGGCATAGGTAAACAGGGCTCAGCCTCTCACATAGCCACATCAAAATTACAACTAAACTACAGAACAACCCTCTCAGAGCCATCAGAAATTGAGTTGAATAGAAGTCCAACAACTATGGAACTGAAGAAACCACATCCATCCAGACATCAAAGTAGCTCTACCTAATACACAGAAACAAACACAGGGAGGCAGCCAGAATGAGAAGACAAAGAAACATGGCCCAAATGAAAGAGATCAAAACTCCAGAAAAAGAGCTAAACAAAATGGAGACAAGCAATCTATCAGATGCAGAGTTCAACACACTGGTTATGAGGATGCTCAAGAAACTTAGTGAGGACCTCAGCAGCATAAAAAGAACCAGTCATAAGTGAAGGAAACACTAATTGAAATAAAGAACAATTTACAGGGAAACAACAGTGGGGTGGATGAAGCAGAGAATCAAATTAGTGATTTGGAACATAAGGAAGCAAAAAACAACCAATCAGAACAACAGGTAGAAAAAAGACTCCTGACTTCCGGCCAAGATGGAGGCATAGGTAGCTACACTTTGCTTCCTTACACAACCAAAAGAAGGACAAAAACCAATTTAAAAGCAAAATGCAACTGGAACTGCCAGGAAGTTGAACTGTATGGAAGTCTGACAACCAAGGAATTATATGAGAAACATTGATCCAGACTGGTAGGTAGGGCGGAGATGGGCAGCTGGCGTGGAGAGGATGTGCAGCAAGGCAGCAGCTGGTGGACCGAGCAGTCCTCATTCCTGTATGGACAAAATGGGAGGAACAACCGGGGAGTGTGACAGGCTGCACAACCCAAGGTTCCAGTGCGGGAAATAACACCTCAAAACCTCTGGCTGTAAAAATCTGTGGGAGTTTCAGCAGTGGAGAAACTCCCAGCCACAGGAGAGTCCATTGGAGGGGCCCACAGGGTCCTCGAATGTACATAAACCCACCCACCTGGAAATCAGAACCAGAAAGGCCCCATTCACTTGTGTGTAACACAGGAAGTGACAGAAAGAGGGGCGAGAGCTGAACAAGCAGTATTGTTCCTCCCTGACCCCTCCCACACATACAGCACCACAACACAGCAAACTGGGTTACCCGGCTCTAGTGAATACCTAAGGCTCTGTCACTTACAACATAACATTTGCGCTGAGACAAAGAAATGTGCCCCAAATGAGAGAGCAGATCAAAACTCTGGAAACAGAACTGAGCAATAAGGAGATAGCCAACGTCTCAGGTGCATAGTTCAAAACATTGGTAATCAGGATGCTCACAGAAATGGCTGAGTATGGATATAAAATAAAGGAAGAGGTGAAGGCTATGCAAAGTGAAATGAAGAAAACTATACAGAGAACCAACAGAAATGGGAAGGAAACCAGGACTCAAATCAACGATTTGAGCAGAAGGCAGAAATAAACATTTAACTGCAACAGAATGAAAAAACAAGAATTCAAAATGATGAGGAGAGGTTTAGGAACCTCTGGGACAACTTTAAACGTTCCAACATCCAAATCACAAGGGTTCCAGAAAGAGAAGAAGAAGAGAAAGAAATAGAAAGTTTATTTGAAAAAAACAATGAAGGAAAACTTCCCCAATCTGGTGAAGGAAATAGACTTCCAGGAAGTCCAGGAAGCTCAGGGAGTCCCAAAGAAGTGGACCCAATGAGGGAGCACACACCAAGGCACATCATAATTAAGTTACCCACGATTAAAGATAGAGAATCTTAAAAGCAGCAAGAGAACAGGAGTTACCTATAAAGAAGTTCCCATAAGATTATCAGCTAATTTCTCAAAGAAACCTTATAGGCAAGAAGCGGCTGGCAAGAAGTATCCAAAGTCATGAAAGGAAGCACCTACATCCGAGATTACTGTATGCAGCAAAGCTATCATTTGGAATGGAAGGGCAGAGAAAGTGCTTCCCAGATAAGGTCAAGTTAAAGGAGATCATCATCACCAAGCTCTTATTATATGAATTATTAAAGGGGCTTATCTAAAAAAAGGAAGAATATAAAAACGATGAACACGAAAATGACAACAAATTATCACAATTATCAACAACTGAACCTATAAAACAAAATAAAAACAAACTATGCAAACAACAAGAACAGGCACAGAATCACAGAAATGGAGATCACATGGAGGTTTATCTGTGGGGAGGGTGAGAGGGGAGAATGGGGGAAAAGTACTGGGAATAAGAAGCATAAGTGGTAGGTACTAAATAGGCAGGGGGAGGTTAAGAACAGTATAGGAAATGGAGAAGCCAAAGAACTTATATATATGACCCATGGATATGAACTAAGGGTGGGATTGCTTGAGGGATGGGTAGTGCAGGGTGGAGAGGGGTACAGGGAAGGAACATATGGGACAACTGTAATAGCTTAATCAATAAAATATACTTAAAAAAGCAAAAAAGAATACAAAAATGAGGATAGTATAAGCACCCTCTGGGACACCTTCAAGCATTCTAATATTTGCATCATAGGGGCATTAGAAGGAGAAGGGAAAGAGGAAGAACTTGGAAATTGATTTGAAAAAATAATGAAAGAAAACTTCCCTGATTTGGTGAAGGAAATAGGCATGCATGTCCAGGAAGCACAGAGAGTCCTAAAACAGATGGATGCAAAGAGGCCCACTCCAAGACACATCGTAATTAAAATGCCAAATGTTAAAGGGAGAATCTTAAACACAGCAAGAGAAATGCAGAGTTCCCTGCAGGGGAGATCCCATAAGACTGTCAGCTGATTTCTCAAAAGAAACTTTATAGGCTAGGCAGCATCGGCAAGACATATTCAAAGTGATGAAAAGCAAGGACCTACAACCTGGATTACTCTAGCCAGAAAAGCTATCATTTAGAATGGAAGGAGAGATAAAGTGTTTCCCAGAGAAGGTAAAGCTAAAGCAGTTCATCATCACCAAGCCATTATTACATGAAACGTTAAAGGGACTTATTGATGAAAAAGAAGATCAAAACTATGGACATTAAAATGGCAGCTAATTCACAACTATCAGCAACCAAATCTAAAAAAAGAAACTAAGCAAAAAATCAGAACAGGAACAGAATCATAGATATGAAGATCATTTGGAGGGTTATCAGCTGGGAGAGGGAAGAGGGGAATGTGGGAAACGGTGCAGAGATTAAGAAGCATAATGGTAGGTACAAAATAGGCGGGGGGGGGGGCGGGTCTTAAGCAAAGTATAGGAAATGGAAAAGCCAAAGAACTCATATGTACCAGCCATGGACATGAACTAAGTCGCGGGGGGGGGGGCGGGGATTGCTGGAAGGAATGGCGTTACCAGGCGGAGGTGGGCAAAGGGGGAAAAACTGGAACAACTGTACTAGTATAATCAATAAAATATATTTTTTAAAAAAGAAGAAAAATAAATAATGTCATTCAACGGTGGAGGCAGCTGTGGCACCACAGAGAAATCCTGTGCTCTTTCCTATTTCTTAGCTTCTCCTCAGGGACAAAATCTGTGTGTCACCTTTGCAGAGTGTGAGCTGGTGAAATCCACCCACTGAGCCCTGAAATCCACTCACTCCGAGGCTGTGTGTAAGCACATAGCCTCGAAGGCAGCCACGTGCTCATGGGGTAGGTCTTTTGGTCTCAAGCACATCATGGTTTGGATTCTAAAGTCAGAAAAGAAGACTGAGGAGAGGGAAGCTGAATAGCTGAGCCAAAAATGGGAGAAATGGTAATGAACATCAAGGGAGAAGTGGAGGGGATAGACAAATAGAGAAGTGGACTCAAAGCTCTGCCATCTGTGCATCTATAAACCTCATATTTACATCTTTTGCAGGCCGTTCCTCTGAACTCCGCACTGGACATCTAACTGCCCACTCACCGTTTTCTTTGGATGGAAACAGACATCTCACAGTTAACATGTCCAGAGTGAACTCCTGCATCTCCCCCACAGCTCTCAGCACCTCACCTCAGCACCGTTATTCGTCCAGATGCTCAGGTCACCCACTCGTGGTGTCTTGCTCTCCTCGCCAAATCCTCTGCACAGAAACCCTGTGCCTCTCCTTCCACATGCTCCCAAGTCTCCATCTTCCTCCTCCTCTACTGTCCTGGTGCAAGTCACTTGTTTCTGCTTGCCTGAGTGTTCCACCTGCTTCTCTCCATGTCCTGCTAGAGTCTATTCTCAACCAAATGCTATGCTATTTTAAACCTATGTCACATTATGTTACTTCTTTCTTCAAAGCGTTGCAATGGAAATCTTTTCACACAGAGAGACGGCTAAGAACAGCCGCACAAAGCAGGAAGAGTATACTCTCATGGCTGTGCACATGCTGTTCCCGGACAGGAGGGCTCTTCCCCGAGATAACCGCACGGCTCACTCCCGACTTTCTTTTAATTTTGGCTCGAAACACCCCTTCTAGGTGATGCCCACCTGGACTACCCTGTTTAACATACATCCCAGTTTACAGATTCCCCCAATTCTCCTATTTAGCAGTACTTCCATTTCCCCCAAAAGGTAACAATTTCTAATATTCCATCTCATTTACTTCTACATACCATTATTCTATATAATTTAGTATGTCAATTGTTTACTGTCATTTCTCTACTGGGATATAAGCTCAATAGGAGCAATTACTTCATTTCTTTTTTTCACCAACACACACCTCATGTTCTTACAATGTTTTGGTCCATTGGAAGTGTCCAATGAATATTATAAGTGTGAATTGTCCAAACTCCTCTTTGAACCTCTGAAGCTTATTTTAAGTGGGTAAATTTGTGGAAATGATGTCAGAAACTGAGTTTACCAACTAGATGACTTGGCGAAAAACAATAGCATCTTGTTCATATGCAGGAAGCAGAAGAACCCACGAGCAGAAAACCACAAACCCTCTGCCCCAACACCCAACCTTCCCCACACTCCCTGGCCCAAGTGGCAGAAATCTCATGGGACAGATGTGGGCCAATTGTGAAATTCATGAGGTCTGGGATCAGACTGCTTGAGTTCTAATAATAAATTGCTCTACCATTTACCTTTGAGTGACCTTGAACCTCTCCGTGTTTTTTTTTCCTCCTCTGTAATTAGGTGTGACAAGGGAATCTACCTTGGATATAATGATCACACTATATTGGATATAATGATCACATGAGGTAAGAGACAAGAATTTCTCACAGTATCTGCACTTAGTGAGTGTTCAAGAAATGGAAAAGTTAGTACTACTTTACTTCCTGGGTCTTGATGCTTCAACGGATATTACAGGACACAGATATAGATATAGGTATATATAGATGTAGATATATTAGATATAGCTATAGAGATCATAGAGGCAGGATTCTCTGTATCTTTATTCCCTTTTCTCTCTTCATATCCATCCATCATGGAAGAGCGGTGCCAAGATGATACTTCATAAAATTCTACTCATTTTTACCAAGGGAGAAGATTACTTGTCTTAAGAGTTTGGGAGAGGGTACGGAGTACATTTAGAGAAGTAGAAAGAAAGAGGGTGTCTAAGAGACAGAGAGAATTAAACATGTGTTCAATCATTTCATAGGGACTAAAAATAATTTGAAGAGCACAAAAGGGAAAGTCTTTTTGAAATTCCCAGGTGTGGGTGTGTGTGCACTTACTCAAAACTCCTTATACACACACATGATACACACATCTCAAACATATATATACAAGTGGCCTGATGGGTGCTGACTATTCTTATTTTACCTCTTTGTGTTTTCTGACTTTTCCACAATTAGCTTTCACTGAGAAGCCATATAATGCGGTTAAAGAAATGAGCTCTGGAGCTGCTCAGCCTGCACTTGAATCCCGGCTGAAATTCTGTCTTACATCGGTTTCATTGGACCTGTGACTCTCTCTGCCTCAGTTTCCTCATCTGTAAATTGGGGATGATAGTGATAGCGCTCACACAGAGATGTTGTGAGGATTAGGGCATTTTATACCCACAAAGCTGTCACTGGTGTGGTTGGAAGCATCATCTGTTCTGGTGGGTCTGGTATCCAAACCAGAGTATGCCTTCAGGTGATGGACCCACAGAGAAAACAATAGACCCCTGATTTCATGCTCTCAGATACTGCTTGGTTCTCGGCCTTCTGTGAAAGCACTGGGTATGTTCCCTGCTTTCCTGGAGGCTCTAAATTTTCAGGGGTAGGAAAAAGTCCAGGGGGGAGAGAAAGGAGATTCTACCCCAAGGCACGCTCACCTGTGAAGCCCAGAAGGAGAGTCAGCAGCAGGCCAGGAGGAGGGCGGAACCAGGAGGCAGAGACGGGCATCCTGGAGGCCTGAGGAGCCTGCTGTATTCTCCTGTGTGCTGGGAGAACGGACCTCTGCTCTGTGAGAGGAGAGTGGCCCCGCCTCCTGCGATATAAGAGGAAGTGCCCAGGATGGGGTGCGATGGCTGTGAGACAGTAGCTTGCTTCCAGATTTGAGACAGTTTCTATTTCCAGATTGTGAAATAGAATCAGGAAGAGAAGGCAGCTGCAGGGTGAGGAGTTATGCATCTTAGTTGTCAGAGCCTTGGACAGGCCTACAGGGAATAGCGCTGCCCCTGCCTGGGGCCTCTGCTCTCCACTGGGCCCCGCGCCCCATCTGAGATCTTCACGGTGATGCCCCACTTGGGAGCCCAGGACGAGAAGGGGCTGCAGTTGAGGGCTGTGCCTCAAATTCCCAAGCCCCGGATTTCAGAATGTGGCTGACTTTCGGCCTCATCTCCTTCATCCTCACCAACAGCTGCTCAGCTGGAGGAAGGGACAGGGTTCACCAGAGGCTGTTGGGGTGAAACCAGGTCTGCCACTGAATGCCTCCCTATTCTAACCATTTATTGATGGAACAAATAAAAACCCAAATGCAGCGTGCAGTATGGACCTCACAACTTACATGGAACTCCATCCAACAAAGTGTCCAGTAACAAGCAAAGGACTAAACAAACTGGTGCATCCAGCAAAGGAACAGTATTCAGTAATAAAAAGAAACGGCTTACTTACATGGGTACCATTTTAAGTTTCTTGAATACATTATGCTGAGTAACGAAGGCAATTTCAAAATGTCACATAGTGTATGATTCCCCTTATCTTACATACTTGAAACTATAGAACGGAGAGCAGACTGGAATTGGCCGAGGTTAGGTCTGAGGGGGACGGGGCCACTGTAAGGGCCTTGCACAGGGAGACCTCTGTGGTGGTGGCATCGCTCTGCATCCTGGTCATGGCGGTCATTACACAGACATACATGAGAGGGATCAACAGAGCAAAGCGGGGAGTGTCACTAGACTCAGCTGTACATATCCACCTCAGAGTCATTATATGGTAGACACTGAGCATTCAGGTATCCAATTTATACTCCAATGGTAGCAGGGTGATGGGGAGTAGAAAGTGTGCATCGTGGCATGAGGTCAGCAGTAACAGAACTTTGTGTCCCACCTTCGTCAGTGGTAAGTAAGTCCACAGTAAAGCCTAAGAGCAAAGAAGTGGCATTTTAAGCATCTATGTGATGTATGGGGGTAAAACCCCACCCTCAAATAATCAGCTTAGGTTTACGCACTGCTGCTTCTGAGAGGTGGGAAATAGTGGGAGATGAGGGAGACTCCCATTTTCATATGCAGAACTATAGAAATTTTTGACTCTTTAAACATGTGCATGTGTGCTGTCAATAATGGTGGAGACAAATTCTAGAATACTAATGTAACTGTGGCAAATAAAAAGAATGTCCATACTGTTAGCAGTCATAAGGGATTCTTACGCTTGTTGGATATAAATGTAATGACCAAAATCAATTATCATTCTAATCCATAGTAAGAAATCACTGTAACCGAAATTAAAACTTTTAAAGATTTCATGACCTAGAAAGTGTCAAGACAGTTCCAGATAGAGATGCATAAGATGATTAAGGAATAGAAGCATGTAAAATTGTGAATTAAAAGTCACAAAATATCTTAAAACTTAAATCTCCTATCCATGATTGGGAAAACTTAATATTGAAAAGATATCAACTTGCCTGAATCACCATATAAATGCTGTGCAATGTAATGATAATTCTAATGTGGTTTTTCATGAAACAAGACATGGCGATTTTTAAATGCTTTTGGGCCAAGAAAGCACACCGTTTTCAACAACAAGAAATGGTTAGAAGATTTTCCCGAAAGAGGTATGAAAACTGATTATAAAGCTACATTAATTAAGATAGAGTAGTTCTGACAGAGAGACAAGTAGCTCAATGGCGCAGAGAGCCCATAGAAAGAGCCACCTATGTATGGAGACTTGATGTATGGCAAAGGTCAGTGCGGGTCAGTGAGTGCGGGGTCATTTATCTTTGTGGAAGAAAAAGAGACCCCGCCCCACCTATAAACACGTGCACGCTTGCATACACACACATGGAAAACATAGTGAGGTGAGAGACATCAATGAAAGGGCAAAACCTGATCAATGACTGAAAGCTGCTATTGGTATAACCAGAGCTCCCCAATGACACCAACACTGCTCTTTGTAACCACATTAGGGAAACAAGAAGGAGTCCCCCATATGTGCCAAAGAAGCAAAGATAAGAATGTCTGTTTAAAGTTGTACTAGCCAAACATTAGGGAAAATTTCAATATCGAAGATGAGAGGAATCAATAAATTTCAACATATTGTTATAAACAGAAGCAATAGAGCAGTACAAAATTCATAAAATGAAGCTACATAGAACAGCATGAATAAATTACACAAGCTGTGTTAAACACAAAAAAATAAAATGAAGTTCCAGAATAATGTATACAGAATAATAGTATTTGTATAAAAATTAAAACACGTTGCAGTGGCTGGTGTGACTCAGTGGATTGAGTGCCAGCCTGAGAAACAAAGGGTCAACAGTTCAATTCCCAGTCAGGACCCATGTCTGGGTGCAGGCCAGGTCCCCAGTAAGAGGCGCAAGAGGCAACCACACATTGACATTTCTCTACCTCTCTTTTCCATCCATGCCTTCTTTCTAAAAATAAATAAATAAGATCTTTTAAAAACACACAAGGTAATATTAAATATGGCTTAAGTATCTATGCATATGTTATTAAAAAATAAAATGTTAAGTTTTTCAAGGAGAGATCCATCGATATTTTTTCTATTATTGTTTGTCTATTTCAGACTAGAAAAAAGTTTATTTAAGTGATTTCCAATATCTATGTGTTAAAATGAAATCAAACTTGCAAAAGCCCTGGGGAAGGGTAAGGTCTGCTCTGATTGTTAAGGGTGGTTAATAATTAGGGGCCCGGTGGAAACATGTTTTTGTGATCTGCTTGGTTCTCCTGTGAATGGGGCAGGGCAAGTTTGCAGCTCACTGCACAGGGGCACACATCCCCGAGTCCCCTCGCCCAAAGCTCCCCTTTGCTCTAAATGTCAGAGAGAAGGAACATGAAGAAGGTGTGTGGAGAGAGCGTGTCCTTGGCGCAGGCGGGGCCGGCAGAGGGAACGGCAGGCGTGCGGGGTGACCTGCCCATCCTTGCAGCTTCTTTCCACTTGCCCGAGCCCCTTGTGGGAGGCAGGAGGCGATGCATCACAGGGCCTGCCGCGGGTGTAGGGAAAATTCACTCATTTGTTCATTCACATATTAAATACACAAATGTTTCCTGAGTTTCCACTCTGGGCCCATGCACTCCTTGGCCTGGGGTCACAGCACAAGTCAGAAATGAAGTGCCTGCTCACTTCACCTCAGCGCTTCTTCCTAAGTCTGAACTTCCTTTTACACCCACGTTCATCTTTGTCATGAATCGACACTTCCACGTTTCTCAGACTGGATCTATTAGGGCAGTTGAAAATACTTTATTTATGTGAAGCCTAAAATACATAAGAGTTTCTGTGCGGAATCTTTGCAGTTTGTAGACTGTTCTACAAACAGAGGCTTTCCCCCAACTCACTTGTTACAGGTTCCACCATCTGCAGTGCAGGTGACCATGAAACTCATCATTGTCAGTCCTGATGCCCAGAAGAAAAGCCACAAAGATAACATCAGGCATCTCTGGACTTAAATAGCAGTGGGAAGAAGGAGAAATCAAATGCGGTGCTTTCAGAGCTACTTTGCTTTTGGAAGTCACCTCGGAGGGAGAAGGTTAACACTGGGAGTGCTACACACTGGGTCCAAATCCCGCTCCTCAGGTGGCAGCCGGGGGGTGTGAGTCTCTCCCAGATGTAGATGTCTGTGCTGAGGGTGGGGTGTATGGTGAGATTCTGCCTCATTCTCTTTTATTTGTTTAGATGTGGGTTTTTTATTGATTGTCCAATGTATGGGAGTCTCCCAAATAGTCGTCTCTGGATTTCTTTCCTTTTTCTTTTTTCTCTTTTCTAGAATGTTTTACTGATGAATTTTATTTTATTTTTTAGTTTTATTTATTTATGTGTTTAATTGTTGTTCAAATACCTTTGTCTCCATTTCCCCCACCATCACTCTCCCCTACCCCACCAAGCCCCACCTCCAACCCTCAATCCTACCCCCTCTTTGGCTTTGTCCATGGGATCTTTATACCTGTTCCTTGACCACTGTTTACCTTCTTGCCCTTGTTATCCCCTTCCCCTCTCCCCACGGCTCACTGTCAGTTTGTTCTTTATTTCAATGTCTCTTGCTCTGTTTTCTTTGCTTGTTTTGTTGATTAGATTCCATTTGTAGGTGAGATCATATGGTATTGATCTTTCAACGCCTAGCTTAGTTCACTTAGCACAATGTTCTCTAGATACACCCATGCTGTTGTGAAAGGTAGGAGCTCCTTCTTTCTTACTGCTATGTATTATTCCATTGTGTAAATGTATCATAGTTTTTTGATCCACTCTATTACTGAAGGGCTCTTACGTTGCTTCTAGCACATGACTATTATAAATTGTGCTGCTATGAATACTGGGGTGCACAGGTTCTTTTGAATTGGTGTTTCAGGATTCTTAGGGTATAATCCCAGCAGTGGAATTGCCAGGTCAAAAGACAGTTCCATTCTTAGTTTTTTGAAGAAGTTACAAACTTTTCCCACAGTGGCTGCACCAGTCTACATTCCCACAAACAGTGCACTAGGGTTCTCTTTTCTCCACAACCTCGCCAGGACTTGTTGTTTGTTGATTTGTATCTGATGCCATTCTGATTGGTATGAAGTGGTATCTCATTGCAGTTTTAATTTGCATTTCTCTGATGGCTAGTGATGTTGAGCATCCTTTCATATGTCTCTGTGCCCACTCTATATCCTCCTTGGAGAAGTGTCTGATCAGGTTTTTTGCCCCTTTAAAAAAAATATTTTATTTATTTATTTTGAGAGAGAGAGAGGAGGGGCGGGAGAAAGAGAGGGAGTGAAACATCAAAGTGTTGCTGCCTTTCACGCGTCCCATCCTGGGGATGTGGACTGCAACCCTGGCACTTGTCCTGGGAATAAAACCAGAGACCATTTGGTTCACAGGTTGTCACCCAATCTACCTGAGCCACACCAGCCAAGGCTCCTTTGCACATTTTTTAAATTTGAGTGCTTGTCTTCCTGGAGTGGAGTCATGTGAGTTCTTTATATTACAAGGTCACTGTTCAAAACAATCTGGTATTTGCATAAGAACTGACACACAGATTAATGGAACAATATAGAAAGCCCAGAAATAAACCTGCGTCTCTACGGTCAATTAGTATTTGATAAAGTGGACAAAAGCATAAAATGGAGTAAAAGTACCCTCTTCAACAAATGATGTTGGGAGATCTGGACAGCTACATGCCCAAAAAACAAAAACAAAAACAAAACAAAACAAAAAGAAAGAAAGAAACTGGACCACCAACTTAACACCGTACACACAAAAATAAATTCAAGATGGTTAAAAGACTTACATATAAGTAAAAACACAATAAAATTCCTAGAGGAGAACATAGGCAAGAAAATCTCAGATATTACATATATTTGTATTTACACAAAGACAAGTCTGACTCAGCAGTCCTTGGCTTGGTTTGATAAATTGCCAGGTGTCCCAAGCATTCCAAGCAAAATAGCACACAAGGAGCGGGGAGTCCTTGGCCTGTGCTGAGAAAAAGGGCTTCTGTGAGTGTCTGTAATGACTTTACTGAGATTGCTGGATGTCCTGAATGTCCCAAGCAGGAATGGTGCAGGAAGGACGGGTAGCTCTTGAGAGTCTATGCTGGGAAAGGGAGCGTCTGTAACAATTCCACTACGTAAAACAAAGAGCCTTTATGGAAAGCCTTCGTAGCTGTACATTACTCCTGAGGAGGCAGGAGGGGAACCAAGAAAATAGCTAAGGTGTGTAACCCCTGAATCCCAATAGTCAGCCGATGTATCCACTTGCAGCCTCAGCTGAGTGCATAGAACAAGCTTACTAACAATGGTCTTTCCTCTATATGTGGGGCATTTAGACTAGCCGGGTGCCAGCTTGCAGCTTTGTGCTTGTATGTATTTCATAAATACAGTTGCTACCTCATTTCCACTAATGTATTTGTCTCCTGCTTGAATCATTCCCTTGCAGGCGGGATGAGGACCGAGGCGGGGGAGGAAGGCCTCCTGGCTCGAGTCTCTCTCCCCGTCTGCAACAAATTCACTGAGTCTCTGGGCGAAGGTGAGTTCAGGTGCCTTATAGTCACATTCTGGAACCATTAGGTTTGCCTCAAAGAATGAAAACTTATGTTTTACATTTTAGCCAGCAAAGTCAGCCAGTCTGATGTCTGACGCTCACTGAGAAGCCACAATGTGAGGCAACAGCATTTCATGGATAAAGAACTATGTATCCAGCTGGCAAACCAGGAGACGAGAGAGAGGGCTCACATCAGTCCCCCCACGCCCCGCAATATAGACTTAAAGCAAAGTTTGAAAATAATGGTAAGGAGCAATTATACATATTAATTCTGACTTGGGAGTCTTGCTTGGACAACTTTGGAATTAAGTCATCAAAGGTAAGGAACGGAGAAGGTGAGAGAAGGTATAAAGGAATTCCTAGAGGGCAGGGTCTGATTGGGTGAGGTCTAGGGGCATGGCCAAGTGCCAGTTGCTGGGTCTCTGTCACTTCTGAGTACTGCCTACGAGGACCAGATCTGTGCTCAAAAGTTTGGGCTTCGGGCAAATATAGCTTCAGGCCACGCTACAGGATTAGTTGGAGTTCATTGGCTGGCTTAGTGAACATGCCAATGCATCTGGGACCAGTCTGCTGAGCTTGGGGCTCGTGTCGCTGGAGCCGTGCGAGGAGGCCTGCTGCTCTCTCCCGAGACAAACAGCAAAAAAGCTATTGGACCTGCTTTCAGTGTAAAGCCCAGTTTCCATTACATTAAGATTTCCTTCCTTTTCCCCTCATGCTGGCAAGCGTGTCCCCGACTTTGAAGCAAATCCTGCTCTTGCTGCCCTTAAAGAGATTCTTGGATCCAGATGCCAGGCTACAAGTGGGCAAGTCTTTTCCCAGAAAAGTCTGAGAACGTCTTCAGGCGGCCAGGCCCCTGGAAAGCTGTCCGTGTCATCGCCTCACAGGGTGGACACACGCAGATGGCGTGAGTTCCTCCATTAGCAAAGGAAGACAGGGCTCTTATCATGCACAGCCCGGGTCCAGACCCTGTGCACTCACACAGCTCTGTCCCTTAAAGCCCCACAATTCCTTGAGGCAGCATCACTCCCATGTTTCAGAGGAGGAAACTGGCTCAGAGAGCGTCAGCGAGTTGCCCACAGTCACGTAGCCGTTATGTGTTTTCCAGTATCGGAACCCAGGCCTCTCTGCCTACCAGGCCTCCGAGGGGAGCATGTCTGCTTGATTTCTCTAAGGAACTTTCACCACATTGCCACTCAGTGTCTGATGCATGACAGGCTGGTGTGGTTTTTAATGGCTTATCTGGTTCTGAGAATCCTACCCTTAAGACATCGTAGGCCCACACATTTTTGCAGAATAATAGTGTACCTTAATTTTTGAAGAAAGAATACTTTCAGATAGTATGACTGTTGCTGGAAATGCCATTTAACTAAAGAAAATAATTCAATACCCCCAAAATAGAAAGGAAATAATTCACTTCACCATTCATTTAAGACATATTCATCGACTGACTCTGGTGTATAATCACTTGAAATCTGTAGAAATAATCCTAAAGGTATACAGTAAGGGAAATAACATAGATCGAGAAAATCGACTGAAACTAGGGAAGGAAAGTGAGTCGCTGGTGTTTTAAATGAGACCCTTGCCCCTCACCCCCGATCCAGCTCAACAAGACCAGCTCCGCTCCAGACTCCTGCGGCCTGAACGCAGCTTCCAGCTGAAATAGTTCAGAAACCTCAACCCACTTGAAGTTACTCTTCCTCATTTTTATACTCTCCTTAAAGAGCAACCAAAAATATTATTTAAAGGGCATATCCGTTATTGAACCAACTGCCATATGGATGTGGCTAGCTCGCTGTATCAATCGTACGACTCGGTCATAGTATTGTTTTCTGTTCCTGTGGCTCCTGGGACAACGGTAATTGGAAACGGCCTGATGGCGTTAACGTCACAGCCCCTTCCGTGCTCTCCATTCCCAGCGGCTCATTTTCCCTTCTTGTCACGTTTAAGTCATGTGTATGAGGAAACGGAGCAGCAGATAATTTGGGGTTCTCTGTGTGTTGTTTCTGTGAGGACCATGTATGAAGATTCAGCTCTGGGGGCATCGAAGACTGTGAGAAGGAGCAGAAGGATCTGTGGGCAGGTGATCCGGGCTGAGCGGCCGCAGAAGCTTCTGGTCAAGTCTTTCTCTTAGGCTGGGCCCCTCAGAGAAGATAGGAGGCCGCAGAGATTGAGGGAGTCAGGTGGCAGGGGAGGATGGAAGGACCTGTGGGAAACATGTCCACTCCTAACTAGCTGGCCATCATTCAAGAAATGTTTCCTGCATGTCTCCTAAGTGTTGGGCTGTCTTTCTCCTGGGACATCTGTCATGAGAGGACAGGAAGCCCCAGAGACAGGACTCTGCCCCCTCAGCCTTCCTCCCCGGGCCCTGATGCCTTGTCTCCATCCCCTCCGCTCTGCCACCCACAGGGTTAGATGGGGAACGGCCCTCCGAGCAGGAGATCTAGGCCTTCTGAACATTACTCTAAAACGTAGATTCTTTTGCCTTAAGGACCTCAGTTATCAGAAAATGTAGAGATGGTCTCTGAGAGATCCATGCCCATAGTTGTCCCGCGTTCATCTCCCTCTGCCCACTTGTTTCAGAGAAGCCCTAAGATTGTGTGGATACCCTTTCAAAACACTTGTACAGCCCAAGTTCTACAAGACCTCACACATTTCCTGCAAGCTGGGAACACTTTAGAATGGTTCCTGAGACTTCTCAGGGTACTGAGGAAGGGGTGACATTTGTATCAACTTCTCTTGCTGCCACTTGAGCCCTGACCATGTGTGACTTGTGTGCTGGCCCCTCCTGCTGACCTTGTCCCTTCTTGACCAAACCTTGGCCTTCCTTCCCTGTCACACACTTACAGCCAGGCTCTCCAATACCTGCGGACATAGATGGCAGCAACACCAACCACTATCAGGACCACAAGCCTAGGAGGACAGCTCTGAGGATTTCAGTAGATAGTCCTAGGCCTGAAAACAGAGGAACAGGAGGGGACATTAGAGGAGACCATTCAAGGGTCCTGCACTTACTCCGCCTGCACCATCAGTGCTCTGGATCTCTTGAACCTGCTCTGGTCTCAGGCTCAAGGCAGAAATCAGGGTAAAGACCTTCTTCATCATCCATCACCACTTTCTTAGCTTGCAGGGCTGTCTTTCTTGAGGGATTGGGGGAGAGAATGTGTGCTCAATGACATGTGTGGTACCTGATTAACTGACTTGGTCCTCACATCCCTACGGGGAAGTTAATATTCTCCTCATTCTGATGAGGACACTGAGGCTCAGAGAGTTAGGGAGGGCACAGATTAGTCAGACCCAAGTGTAGAAAAATTCATCCCTGTCGTCTATATAATGACCTTAAGACCTTGTTTTTTGAATGAGGAAGGTCCAAACTCTCAGAGTTGCAGGAACAAATGTGAACAGGACAAATGAGTGGAGTGAGGACAGATGTCACAGTGAGAGAGCCCCAGTGCTGCTTGCTGGAACCACGGACAGGTCTGGGTGGCCCATGTTCTCTGGGGCTGAGGGAGGACTCACCGGCCTGACCTCATGGGACCTGCTGGCTGAAAGCCCCCTGTGACTCGAGGAAATGGCACATGTTTGGGAGGAGCTCAGACACCACTCAGCCTGCCTTGACCCCTTTGACCATGTCAGCAGAAACCTTTCTAGTGGACGCAGAGAGTCAGACGGCAGGGCACACCTTTAGATTCCTTGCAGAGTTACGATGAGCCAATTTTATTTACATAAGAATAGATATTAAAGAGCTTATAATAATAATAATAATAATAATCCTCAATGTAGGACTGAGGAATTCACCCTATTCCCTGCGGGGTGGGGGGGGGGGATGGCAATTCTAACCTGAGAGAGGCTCTCTGGGACTCTCCCTCAGGTGAAGTGAGCTTCGTTTGCAGGGTTGCACCCCCTCCTAGAGGGCAGCCCGGGTCGGAGGGCTGGCTGCACGGGGTGTCGAGGCTCAGCCCCCTCCCGTCCATGTAAACGAGTCTCAGAGGCCGCTCCTCTGTCCAGTTCCCTGTCGAGCGGCCACGTCTGGTGCCTGCACTGCAGTGGAACTGCTCCTCTGCCAGTCGTGCTCCTTCACTCCCTCAGGCGTGTGGGTCCTGACAGCTCCCCACGGGGAGCTTCCCACACGCTTCCATCCCTTTAGAGTCTGAATCCCAGGGAAACTGACCTATGGGAGTCAACTGTGAGCCTTGTGGGGAGAAAACTGTAAGATGCTCCTTAGACATTGGATCACTCATCAGGTGGCTGGTCAAGAGGCCCCGCATTGAGGGGAGGTATCACAGGGGTGGGCCCAGCAGGCCCTGTTGTTGCAGCTGTTGAACTTCTCACTGGTGCTGAACTGGGATGGAGTGACCAGAGGAAGAGAATATGTGGGCTTCAGGCATTTGGAAGTGAGTTGGGAGATGGTCATCATAAGGACTATGGGCCTGGATGACTGTCGCTGGGCATGATTTTGGGGAGAAAGACAATGAAAAGTTTCAGTGTGAGCCAGGAGGCTTCTTGATAGCATTGCAGGTTCTTTTCTTCTAGAGTCACCGGGCAGAAAAAGCTGAGATTGGGGCCAAGGACCGAATTCTAGGGATAGAGAGGGACAGGGAAGTTGAGTTCTCCAGTTCCATGAGGCCACGATGGGGAAATCTGGGACCCGGAGATAGGGACCTCTGGGCCTGGGCAGTCAACACTCTTCAGTCCCCTTCTGAGCTGCGGGGGACAATGGCAGCAGCACCTACTTATCTCCAAAGATGGCTTCTCCAAACCAAAGGAAAAAACACACCGAAGAAAAAGTACATCCTGTACACAACTGGCTCTCTGTATTACGTGATGAGAAAGTGTAAAAGGGTCAAAATGCCATCGTTGAAAACTGAAGAATCACCAAATCCTAGGGCAAAGTCTTCCACGGGGCTTCCTTCCGCGCCTCACTCAGCCACAAGGCAAAAGGCAGGCAGCAGCGGGTTGCGACCACCGCCAACGCTAAATTCAGCCTGACACTGGAATACTGCAGAGTGTCCTGGAGATCAGAACACAGATCATAGGGGAAGGCTCCAAAGGAAGTCAGTGCAAAAGGGTTGGCGCAGAATCCCTGTAATCTGTGAACATGTCACTTTACCTGTCAAAAGGGACTAGTCGGAGTGATTAAGTGAAAAATTAAAATGGGAATAATTTTTAGAATTTTTCAAGTGGAGCCAATGCACTTGCAAAGATCCTACTAAGTGAAAGTGGAGGTGGGCGAGTCATAGAAGATGTGATGGCAGAGGAAGGGCTCAGGGCAGGTGGGGCCTCAGCCGAGGAGGGCGCTGCCTCTGGGGCTGCAAAAGGGAAGGACGGGGATCCTCCCCCAGAGCTGCCAGAGGGGCCCAGTCCTGCCAACCCACTGCAGACCTCGAACTCTGAAGCTGCAGGACGATAAACGTGTTGTTGTAAAGGTACTCAGTGTGTGGGAATTTTTTTCGAGGTCATAGGAACCTAATACAGAGAGGAGGGGACATTTAAAAGGACAGGTGAGACTGTAGAGATGGGCACCATTTAAAGTGCACAACTTCTGTGGGAAGGAAAAAAAGGGAAGAAGAAGGAAAAGGGCTCTTTGGCAACTGAGTGTTATGGGGGAAAGTAGGGGAGGTATGAAATCGAGGGTTCTTAAAGGCAAACAAGAACAAAAATTTTGAAGGCTCAGAACCGTTTTCCCATTGTTGAAACCCACCAGCAAGTATTGTAATTCTGCACTAATGTGTGGATTTTGCTGTGCTGACAGAAGTGAGGTTCATTCATGCAGAAATATTGTAAAACACCCCAATACCACAAACATGACCAATAAGTTGTGCCTTCTTTGGCCACACCCCTTGGACCGTGACTGCAGTGCCCCGCGCCCTCTGCTGCTGGGGTGGGCTGTGGGTTCCCCGTGAAGAGGGTCCACAGACGTCCTGCACTTGGCCCCATTTTGCCAACACAGACGACCCAAACACCATCTCCAGCCTCAGAACTTAGCGGGCCTGCTGGGTCAGGCACAATGGGAACACCCAGAAGTAATTGCCTGATTTGACCCTGTGGGAGGTGGAAACTCAAAAGCAAGCCCGAGGCGGCCCAGGGAAGATGGCGGAGACCCATTTCTCCTGCTCGCCTTGGTCAGTCCTCCTCTGGCCCTAAGAGGTAACACCAGGTTTGAGCAGTGGAGGGGGGATCTGAGAGATGGAAGGGAAGGCACACCGGCTCGGGCCCTGAGGGTGGGAGACGACACACAGCATTCAGGTGTCATAGGTGGCACTATGCCAGCACCCAGGCATGGAATGCAGCCCAGGTGTGGCATTTCAAAAGGTCTCAAACCAATCATCTATGTTCCATTCCAAGAAATGAGGAAAAAGGGAGCAAAATCAACCCAAACCAAATAGGAGACAGGAATTAGAAAGCAAAGAGAAAAAAATCAACGAAATTGAAACAGAAAAGACAAGAAAAATGAAAAGGGGGTTCTTTTAAAGATGCATAGAACTGAAAAATTTCTATCAAGGCTGATGAAGGAAAAAGAAGGAATGACGTATTTCCATGCGAGGAATGAGCTGGGAAAGCACTGTGACCCGCGGACATCAGCAGGGGAATGAGGGATATTGTGAGTGACTTTGCAGTAGGACGGTGGTGACTGTTGCTGGTCTGTTTTTTTTTTTTTAATTTACTCCTAATTAGAGAGAGAGAGAGATCAATTTGTTGGTCCACTTACTTATGCATTCATGGGTTGATTGTTGTACGTGCCCTGATTGGGGATCAAACCTGCAACCTTGGTGTGTCGGGACAATGCTCTAACCAAGGGAGTAACCTGGCTAAGGCTTTTGCTGGTCTATTGTCATAAATCTGGGGAAAAGAAGGTCTGTATTGTGACCATGCACAGTTACTTGAGTGCCCTATACAGACGGAAACTTTTGGATTTTCACCAAGCAGTAGGCCTAGGCGTTTGCTGGGGTGATCTTAGCGACGCAGATGGAAAAGCCTTGGATGGAATGAATTGAGGCCAGGAGCAGTGTAACGGAATGAATATGCTATCCTATTATAAAGCCACCCATATTAATCTTAGTGAACGTTAAATCTAGCTTGTTATACTAATCTGATTTTTCCTTTCAGATCTAGAGTTTACATGTTGAAAGTTTCTTTCCTAAGTATACCTTACTAGAATCAGCAGTTTCAGTTCCTGGGTGAACCTAAGCAGCAGTCTGACCTCAAGACCCTGGCTCAGTTGATAAGAACCAGAGGGCCAACTCAAGCAGCTAAAGCTGCCCAACTCTGATATACACCTCACTCCTGCCCTTCGCCAGCCTCCTTCAAAGTTGTCAAGGACACTAGCTTGTAATAAAACAGCATCTTTCTATAAGAATCTCAGGAACTAACTTCAAAAGATACAGATTCCAACCTTCAGGTACTCCAGGGCCAGGAGGTTTGCTGACCTTCAACCGTGAAACCATGATGATGCACAGTAGGCCACTGCTCAGCCCGTTCCAGGCTCTTACCAGAACAGGCTGTGCTGGTCTGCACAAAGAGAAGTTTTCAACCCCCTCCCCTTGCTCTCTTTCATCTGTTTCCCATCTTCTTTCTTATAAAACAAGCCTATACCAGCACTGAGAGATTAAGATGAGTTTTGGGATGAGAGTTCCCCCATCTCCTCAGAGGCCTGGCACTTGAATAAAACTCTTTCGTTCTCACCGGCATCTGTCTCATGAGGTTAGCTTTCCTTGCTTAGGCAGCCACACCTGGGTTTGGTTATAGGCGGAGGTTAGAAAGAGCAAAGATGAGGGAGTGGCTGATGTGCTTGGTGAACACAGTAACTGCTGGGTGAAGAAGGCAAGAGCCAGGAAACTGTGAGCAGGCTGGCCTTCCGCCCTCGCTCCCTCCCTGTTTCTCTAATCTATATTGATGTCAAAACATCTATAAACATATGTACCAAACTCTTACCAGTTGTGACTTTGGAGTGCAAGGTTTGGAAGAGGGGAATTCACTTTAAAATTCTACTTTCTATCATTAGACTTTTAGGTTAGTCTATAATTGGCACGAGTTACTACTTATAACATTAAAACTAAAGATAAACTCTGAAAAGACCTGGGTCAGTTCAGATGGAGGCCTTTTCCCAGATTTTACCATTGTCCTGGCCTTTCAGGTGAGTGGAGGGCTCCAGGGCGAGGTTCCTACTCACTGCCCACTGCCCATGAGGCTGCAGCTGACAGATGAGCACCACGTCCTCCCTGCGGGCAGACAAATTCACCAGGTACCAGCTCCTTCTGCTGATGGTCCCATCCTTGTTCTCTATGAGAGTCCAGGCTGTTTCTGTTTGGGACATGTTTCCATTCTCCAGCCAGGTCAGCTGTAGGTGCTGGGGGCAGAACTTCTTCACAATGCAGGGGACAACATTTGTCTGGTTCTCTGACATGGGGCGTTGGGTAACTTCCAGGGTAGGCAGAACCGAAACAGCACAGGGCAGAAGCTCTGACCTCATGGAGCACACAGACCACATACGTGGGCTCTGTAACTTAGCTCTCCCATTATAGCAAGGGCATCATAGAGGAAGGTGCTTAGACACTGAGTATACTGTTTCATATGAATGAAATCACTAAGCACCGCATCCTGCACACAGCAGGTGCTCAATAACTAGTCGCTGCTATTAGGGTAATATGATTTAAATCAACCGTCACAGCTCCTGACATGCAATTGGTACAGTAATAACTGTAGTAAAATAAATGAAATCACCAAGCACCTAAGAGGTTGGCTTATAGTAGGTGCTCAGTGAGTGGAGTTGACATTGGTAAAGCAGATGAAACTACTGAGCACGCTGCTTGGCAGGCAGTAGATTTTTACCAGGCAGCTGCCATTAAATAGTGCTGAGTGATGGGCAAATTTGTGTGTCAGGTGATGGGAAGGACTGTCAGGGATTAGATTCCAGGCAATTGCTGCTGTGGAGCAAAAATCAGGAGGAGCAGCTTGGAGGCTGGCGCTCAGGTGCGGGCTTGGTCTGAGTGTGAGGGACATCTACCTCTGATGGTCTCTGACAAGCTGGCAGTCCCACGAAGAGGAGGGCTCCCCTGCAGGGTGACACGGTCCACCTGGCGGATGACCTGGGAGCGGACATCCCCCGGGGCCAGCTGCACCCTGGCCGTGCTGGAGACGCTGTAGGAAGGGCTGTCTCCCTCTGGGTCCACGGCGGTCTGGGAGGCTGGGAGCTCGTTCCCGTCTCTGAACCATCTCAGTATGATGTTCCTGGGGGAGAAGCCATGGGACTCGCAGATGAAATTCACTGTCTGCCCAGGTGGAGCCCTTGTGGCAGGACATGATACCATGGGGGTAGATGATTTGGCTGCAAAAGGAGCGTTTGTAAACAATAAACACGATTGTGATCCTCACTGCTAACAATTAGTGTGTAGCACTGCCAAGAACCATCACAGACTTTATTTTTATCCTTCTAATAGTGCTTGGATGGTGGTGTCATTGTCCTCATCTTACAGAGGAGGACACACGGGTCCTCAGAGGTGAACTCCGAGAGAGAGCCTGATCAACAAGCAATTGCAGCTCTGAGTTAAAATTTCACTTTCTTTCCTCCCCAGGTGATATCCCAACAGCGCGGCCTCAGGAACAAAATTACTGATCAGTATCATTCTTTGTAATAACCAGTCCTAGCCGCCCTCCTAACCACTGAACGGGCACCATAGTTATTACCACTTCACAAATGGGAAAACTGAACTTGAGGAAAACAGACTTTCCCAAGACCAAACAACTGTGGGATGACAAGACCACGGCCTGGAAAGCGTCTCTTCCCTTACCAGGCTCACCTCCTAATATCCTGTAAAGGTTGATTTGATTATGTTTTCAATATTTGGTTAATCGATAATTTAACGTTACATTATTAACATATTGTACAGACTTTCTGCAGGTGAGGAACTCAGGCCCACCAAAAAGAACTGGGTCACAACATTGACATAACACCTAGGTTTGGGGGTGCTACTCATGGCTGGGCGATTCAGACAGAGCACATCAAGTCCCTTCCACATTCCTAAAAGTAGCCCATGGTTACCAGCATTTTAGAGAGTAGACAATAGAGGCCGGGAGAAATGAAGATACTATCACTTCTCTCACTACTGCATTCCAGATGTATTTCCTGTGGCCTCCCAAGTATTCAAGTTCATCAACGGAGCAAGTGCCCACCTTCAGGAACCTGACACTAACTGCCACGTTCTCCAGGGAGGAGTGGATTCCAAGGGCTCAGGCCCGGTGACCGTGTAGCAATAATGGAAGACATGGGCTTCAGACAACTCAGTCTAAAACATGAACTCTTGCTCAGGAAAAAGTCCAGCACCCTCCAGGAAATGCCTCCCCCTCCTCATTCTCAGTCTGCAGATCCAGGATTGCTGCGCATGGTGTTGCTGTGGGTGCAGTGGCTCCTCTCCGCTCTGCCCAGGTTGCTGTCCCCAGGCTGCTACTGCACACTGCTCCATAAAGACAAAGTGCCACAGCAAAAAGGGGACAGCATCCTGATTGCTTTTATAGGCTGCGCCATGTCCTCGGGAACTGGGTCAGTGTATGAGAGACATTTGTGTGCCTATCTGATCGGGTTGTAAAGCTAGACCTGTTTCTCCCCTGAGATCTTTTTATTTTTTTTTAATTAATTTATTTTTTTAGAATTAGTTTTCCCTTGTAATTGAAGATATAGTGATAGGATGCACAAACAAGCATTTGAATTATATACAAGTCATGAAGCCACTTCTGCTTTTTTGTAAGTCCTGCACAAGATACAGGGACTGCCTGAGAAAACCTTAAAATGTCATTGCCTTTACATTTAAAGTTCAATCCAAAGTGTGGAGCTTTCCCCACACTTTGACAAGCACAGTGGGGTGTGGCAGAGAGGAGGAGCCATGAGTCAGGAAGTTAGGGGTTCAATCTTAGCCTCCCTACCAGCTCACATGTCAGGTACTTTGATCTGTCAAAGGGACAATGGATGAAGATGTGGCCCCTGGCTCCCTCCCGCCTCCCTGCTTCCTCCTCCAGGGCCTGGGAAAGAGGAACAAGCACTCGACCAGGAGGCAGCAGACCTAAGCGGCAGTAGAGACACTTACTAGCTGTGATTGCCTAGGCAACAAATGCACCATTTGCGAATTTTTGTAACTTCTGAAATATTAGAATACACCTACCAAACCTGCCTATGTTCAGGGGCTGTGCAGAGACTCCACTGCTACCACACCTAGGAGGAAATTTGGCAATATCCACACAAATTGGAGTAGCAATGCCACTTCCAGCGGGCATCTCTCTCTCTCTCTCTCTCTCTCTCTCTCGTGCAGTGACAAATGGACAAAGTTATCCTCTGCATCACTATTTCAAGGTCAGACACAACTTATATCTATCAACAGAAGGCTGTCACTCAATGGTGCTGTCTCCATATATTGGAGAGTTAGGCAGCTCTTGAACAAGGGGCAGCTCTAGGTGCTCATGTGGATGCTTGATTTGGGGTGATGAAGCTGAAGGTTGGAACAAGTCCCCAGTCACCTTAGGCCTCAGGGTATACATGCAAAGAGCATTCTGAAGCTTTGGGAAACCAGTGAAAAGGAGAAACGCTGGCTCCGTGATTAAGTAGTTTGCCGTAATGAGCTTTAACTCTGTGCTGACTCTGATGGAAAGAGTGTCTACCTCTGGAAAAGGAAAAAGCCAGATGGACATCGGATTGGGTTCTAGAAGATCATCTCACTTACGGCCTGTGGGACAATAGGCACAGCTCCTGTTACCTTTTGACCTCATGCTCCCCTCTGCGTGTGGGAGGTTGGGCTGGGTGGTCTAAAGCTCCTTTGTGGGCCGACATTGCACGCTTCAGGATCCTGGGCATCTGGCGGAAAACCCTAAATGAGCTCTTCTACTGTCTCAATGGGGCGAAGCTTAAGTCACCCAAAGGGGTCACCTCTTCCTTGGGTGAGGGACTTGGAGGCTTCAGTGACCAAAATAAAGGGAGTTTGTCAGACAGACCCACAGTGAGCGCCCAACCTCTGGGCACCTCCTCCCAGCAGGGCTGTCAGAGTAAACAGGGGGTCTGTGCCTCTTAGGAATTTCTTCTCATGTGATGCCTCTGAGGAGGAAATAAAGCAACACATCCCTCTTCCCTGCCCTGCATGCATTTCTCCCCACTGGAGGGAAGAGAACAAAGCTAGGTGGGAGAAGAGCATTTCCCTGCTTAGTCCACGGCAGCTTCCACGGCACCCAGAGCAAGCCCTGGCTCACAGCAGGTGCTTAGTAACATCTGTATGAGGAGACTCAGCCACATAGGAAGGACCACTTTCTGGAGGCAGAGGTGAAGTCTGACCTTGTGATGGGCAAGTCACTCAGACCTTCAGTTCTTTCATTCTTAGAACCAATGGGCTGGATGGGATTAGAAGATGCCAGGGCTAGGGAGTTAGGAAAATGAGAGTTACAGACTTTTCCCACCATTTACCATCCATGGAGCCTGAGTTCAATTTCCCTGATCTGCAAAGGGGTAATATCAGGTCATGAATCAGATCCTGACTATAACCATCCACCACTACACCTGATTCTTAGTCATTTCTCAAAAAACTAAGGGCATCTTTATTGAGTTGTTGTCATGTGCCAGAGATGAAGGATCCCACACTGTACTCACCACTCACGATGAGCTGAGTGCCTGCCCCAGACTTGAGCTCCGTGTCATCGGGTTCTCCTCTGTGGAACTTCACACAGCGGTAGGTACCAGTGTCTGCTGTGGCGATGTTGTTGATGTGGATGGAATAGTCCATGTTGTCTCTTCTTGTTACATCTATAGCACTTGTTACTCGGGGGAAGTGACCTCCTTTGAAACTGTAGATTAACTGTCGGTCTGGCCCTGTTCCTCTGAACCGCATGACGGTTCCCACGGGGAGCAGGGAGGTCATTGTGTATCTCAGAGTGGCCGCCCCTCCAGCTGCCGCTGCCACTGCCACTGGCTTCTCAGGCTGAATCAGCTGCAGCTCCTCACCTGCCCCTCCTGGGGTAAACACAAAGCAGTTATTTATTCATCCATGTGTGATTGTATAGGCTTTGTCAAGTGTTCGTCATCAACAGCTTTCATTGCCTGAGTGCACACCCTGAGCGGGCCGCAGCTCTGCACATTGCATGTGTCGTCCATGTGACCCTCACAACGAGACTCTCTTACAAATGAGGAATCTGAGGCACAGAGAGGTCACGTGATGTAGCAGAGAGTGGGTTTGGGAGCTGAGGCCTCTCTAGAACTGTCGTGTCCCCCACCTATTCCGGCTATTCACTTTGTGGCCTCATGAAGAGATGTACTTCTGGAACTATCCATTGGGCAGGACCTACATGTCTTTAGACCCCTAATTTGTGAGAAGAGTTGATGGCTGTATGTTGTGGGTGTGCACTTAACTACGAGATCTCTGTGGATAAACTTCTGTCTCTCACAGAGATCCTCATGTCATTGTGCAGTCAGATCCATCAGCCTGGGTACTTGAGTGACAGTGATGTGCAGTGCTCCCAACACACGATGATTGTATCATTCAATAAAGCAGTAAAAGTGTTGTTTTTCCCCATAGCGTAGCTATATTCTTTCTTTTTTTTTTTTTACTATTGCTACTTTACAACTTACAAAAATCTAAGTTGCTTAAAACAGTTGTAAAGGAAGTAATAAAATTCTGTTTGCACATGTCGTGATTTTATATGTAGCAACTATGAAGACTCCCTGCACATGAAAACTCTAGTAGGGTTAATACATGATTTCAGCAAATTTGTGGTTTGCAAAATTAACACTCAAAACTCAGTTGCCATTCTATACACTAGTGATGAACAATCCAAAAAGGAAATTAAGCAAGCAATTCTATTTTCAGTAGCAACAAAAAGTATAATATATGTAGGATTAAGTTTAACTATTGAGGCAAAAGTCTTGACGTTGAAAAGTACTAAACATTGTTGGAAGAAATTAAAAACAAAAGTAAATGGAAAAACACCCCTCACTGATGGATTGAAAGACAATATTGTTAAGCTGTTGATACTACCTAAAGCACTCTACAGATTCAATACAGCTCTTATCAAAATTCCAAGGGCAGTTTTTTGTAGAAATGGAAAAACTTATTTTAAAATTCATGTCAAAACCCAAGGGACCCCAGATACCAAAACAATCTTGAAATTGAAGGACATAGTTTATATCAGGAAGCACTCTTCCTGATATAAAAACTTCCTACAAAGCCTCAGTAATCAAAGTAGTGTGGTACTGGCTTTGGAACAGATATATAGACCAATGAAATAGAATAGAGAGGCTAGAAATAAACCATCACACGTATGGTCAAATAGTTCTCAACCATGATGCCAAAGCCATTTAGTGGGGAAAAGACAGGGTTTCAATACATGGTGCTGGGAAACTGGATATCCACATGCAAAAGAATGAAATTGAACCCTAAACTTACACCATATGCAAAAATGAATTCAATGTGAATCAGAGACCTAAATGTAAGAGCAAAACTATAAAATTCTTAGAAAAAAACCATCAGCTAAACTCCTCATGATTTTGAATTTGGCAATGATTCTTTGAATATGGTGCCAAAAGCACAGGCAACAAAATAAAATATATATAAATTGGACTTCATCAAAATTAAAAACTTTTGCGCATCAGAAGATGCTATCAAGAAATTGAGAAGACAAGTCAAAGAATGGGAGAAAATGTTTACAAAGCATATGTCTCATAAGGATGAATATCTACAACACATAAAGGACTCCTACAACTCAACAACAAAACAGCAAACAAACCAATTAAAAAATGGACAAAGAACTTGAGTAGACATTTTCCAGAGAATATATAGGATTGGTCAGTAATCATATTAAAAGATGCTCAACATCACTACTAATTAGAACAATGCAAATCAAAAGCACAATGAAATATCCTGTCATATCCCCTAGGATTACTATTATAAAAAATATAAAAATAGAAAGTAAATGTTAGCACAGATGTGAAAAAATTGAAACCCCTGTGTATTGCTGGTAGGAATATGAAATTGTGCAGACACTGTGAAAACAGAGGTTGTTTCTTAGAAAGTTAAGCAAAAAGTTTACTATATGATCCATTAATTTGACTCTTAGGTATATAGCCCCAAAAATTAAAAGCAAGGACTCAAATAGATGCTTGTACATCAATGTTCATAGCAGCATTATTCACAATAGCCAGTGTAGTATCAACCCAAATATTCACCAACAGATAAATGGATAAAAATATGTGGAGTATATATGCAATAAAATATTCATCCCTAACAAGCAACAGAATTTTGATACATCCTATAACATGGGTGAGGCTTGAAAATATTATGCTTAGTGGTTATACCAGATAAAAATTGACAAACACATGATTACACTTGTATGAAGTATCTAGAATAGGCACATTCTTAACAAAAAAGAGAATCGAGAGTACCAGGTATAGGGGAGAAAAGGAAAAGTGTGGGGTTATTTTTTAATGGGTAAAGGGTTTTTGCTTAAGACATTGAAACAGTTCTGGAAATGTGTAGTGCTGACGGTTTCATGGCTTTGTGAGTACTTAGTTTCACTGAACTGTATTCTGAAAAATGGCTAAAATGGTAAATCGTATGTTATGTATACTTTACAAGAATAGAAAATATGTACCACATCTAGGTAATTGCCCCATAGAGAGCCTTTGAATTGGACTAAATGACTCAAGGAAAATGGCAAAACATGTGGTTTCTCAGGCTCGGAGAATTGAAGACCTGCCCTCGAAGGGGGACATAGAGCCGTGAGAACAAGGAAACAACAGCTTTCACACCTGTGTTTTGAAAAGATTTGTGGGTGATTCACTGTGTTTGGACGATGACTTGTGAGTTGAATGGACATGAGTCTCTTTGGGGCCAATCATTTAACTGCAGGTGAAAACCTTTTCAATTCAATTTCACTGCCTCTGTGCCTAACCAGTTTCTGGACACAGAGAAGTACAAAAAATTCTCGTTTTATTTGAAATATTTTAAAAAGTAGCTGTGGGTTTGTTTTTTTTTTAAATTAATTTATTTACTTTTTAAATACATTTGTCTCTGCCTTCCCCCCCCCCCTCTTTCCCTTGCCCCCTCCCACCTTCCCTCCCTCAGCTCTTCCCCTTTGGTTTTGTCCATGAGTCCTTGCTATATGTTCCTTGACTTTCCCCTTCCCTTCCCTTTCCCCCAAAAAGTAGCTGTGGGTTCTGGTGGCAGAAATATGTTGTAATTCAGAGAAGGAGGCAGCTGTGGCGCCACAGAGAAATCCTGTGCTCTTTTCTGTTTCTTGGCGTCTCCTCAGGGAGAAAATCTGTGGGTCACGTTTGCAGAGTGTGAGCTGGTGAGACCCCCCTTACTTAGCACTGTTTGTAACCACACAGGCTCCAAGGCGGCCATGTGCTGTCGCAGGGCAGGTCTTTGGTACCAAGGTCATTGACGGTTTGGATTTTTATATCAGGAGAAGAAAATTGGGGGCGGGGAACCTAACTGCCGGGACAAAAATGTGAAGTAGGAATAAATCTTGGAGGGAGAAGGAAAAGGAATAGAGAAGGGAAAAGAGGAATCAGAATCGAGACGAGCAGGGAATGGCAAAAACTCTGCCGTCTGTGCACCCGTAACTCTCAAATTTACATCCTTGACCACTGCCTTTCACCTGAACTCTGGACTTGTATGTCCGTCTGTCTACTCAACATGTATCTTGGATGATAACAAACATCTCACAGTTAACATGTCCAAACTGAACTCCCGAATCTCCCCCACAGCTCTCAGAATCTCACCTGAGGGGCCTTTATTCCTCCAGATGCTCGGGTCCCAAACCCTTGCAAGCCTTTCTCTCCCACTGTATATCCTACGCACCGGACACCCTGCCTGCCCTCCTTTGGCATCCACCGCAAACCTGATCTTAATCCTCTATCCCCACTAGCTACGTCCTGTCCCGGTGCAAGACACTTCTTGTTTGTACGAATGCAATGACCTCTTAAGTGCTCTAGTGGATTCTCTCTATGTCCTTTTGTAGTCTCTTCTCAACCAAACGCTAGAATAATTTGAAATTCATGTCAGACCATGTCCCTTCTTTCTTCAAAACCTTACAATGGCAAACATGTCACTCATAGCAATAGCCCAAGTCTTTGAACACAGCAGGAAGCTTCTAGTCTCAGGGCCCTTGCGCATGCTGTTTCCTACCAGGGGGGCCTGTAAGATAACCGCATGGCTCACTCCCAACCTTCTTTTAATCTTTGCTCAAATGTTCCCTTCTCAGTAATGCCCACCTAGAGTATACCCTGTTTAAAATACATCCCAGCTTACAGATTCCCCCAGTTCTCCTATCCAGCAATAGTTTGATTTTTCCCTTAAGACATCACTTCCCAATAGTCTATATTACTTTCTTACTTATTATGTCTCTTTACTGTCATTTCCCAACTAGGATCTAAGCTGCAGGGAGGCAGCTACTTTGTCTCTTTTGTACAGCAATGCACCCACGTTCCTATAACAATTCTGTCAAGTTGTAGGTGTCCAATAAAAGTTTATATGTGTAAACTGCCTAGTGTGACACCTCCCAGGACCCTGAAGCCTATTTTAAGTGGGTAATTCTGTGGAAAGCATGTTAGAAACTGAGGTTCCCTTGTAGATGGCTTTGGTGGGGGGAGTAAATTGAGCATAGGCAGGAAGCAGAAGAGCCCCAAAGAAGGAAACAGCAAAACCTTCTCTCCACACCCGCCCTTCTCCACACCCGTTGACAGAAGCAGCAGAAATCTCATGGGATGGACGTGGGGCCACAGGCTTTTGAGAGGAGTCACAGTTAAATCCTTGAGCTCTAGGGTCCGATGCCTGAGTTCAAATCACACAGCTCTACCATTCAGTAACCTCGAACCTCTCTGCTTCTGATAGAAGGGGTAGAATTGAGAATACATTTTTTTCTTCCTCCTCCATCACGGCCTTAGATGATTACTAGTAGCACGTGTAACCAATGAATCAAATGCGTGTGTTTAATCTTATGTTCT